TTCTTTGGGATGATTGAAACTAGACGTCTTGAACTACATAGTCAAAGTTTATTAGGCTCTAATAACTATCAAAAAAATTTTTTTCAAAGATGCACGATGTTTGAGGGGTAAAGGGGGTAAAAGGCACGTGAGAGCCAATCAAAATCACGAATCTATTCGCAGATCATTCTAGAATGCGATTTCCTAATTTGGTATATTCCCAGACTGTAATACAAACATATCGTGATCAATTTGCTGCGCCACACGATCGGCATAACCTGGCACAAAATGTAGGAGTGTCGGTACAACCCCTGTATAATTTTCGGGCATTAAAAGAAATCACTTATGCAGTTTGTAGATCAATATATCGATATTTCTAATCGTCCAAATTAGATAATGATAACGATAAGATTGATGATCAGAAATTTATTCGAAAAAAAATTTTTTGTTCTGATTTTCTCGATCTGAGATTTTAAAACTTGTAGTAAAAGAATAATTTCATATAATGGCAACAGAAACTTTAGTAACCCCAGAAACTACAAAAAAAGAGGGAAAAGTCGTCGAAAATGTAGTAGAAGACACAATTATTGAGGCGGAGGAACCGAATTTTACTTTAGCAATCAATTTTCCACATTTTCCTGGCAAGACTTATGTCATGGTAAATTTTACAATTTTTTTCAGTATCTTGTTTTATCGAAGCTAATACATATTTATTTTCTTGTGTAGGCAAATGCTAGTGAGCTTGTCCAGGAGGTTAAACAATGGCTAATTGATTCACCAGAAACATGCATCTATACTTGTTTTTCTCTCTCTTTAAATGGTAGACGGCTCGATGACTATAAGGAACTTCAGGAGGAAGGCATCACACAAGATTGTGACTTGGATCTCGTCGAAGGTTCGTATATTTTATTTATACTATATAAATTGTCGTATTAAAATTTCTATTTCATATTAGATCCCTATACTGAACGTGAAGCTCGTATTCATGTTATCCATGTGCGTGAATTGCTTGCTGGACCGTTCAAACAATCTACATCTTCCGTTGGAATAGATCCAGGATTATCATTTTTTACAGCAGTCACTGGCATAAATGGTATGTTATAAACTTATCTGAGGTCCATACTTGTAATCATTTTCTAAGTCTATGCATATTCTTACAGTCAAAACAAATAATGAACAAGCTGAAGAAAATAGGAAATCTAAAGAAGATAGTGAAGTTCCAAAAACACCTTTTACTGATTATGACTTTACGGCTCCATCTCTATCAAAATTTATCCCAGATAATTTTGGTCGACACAAAATTAAGTGTGTCGAGTCATTATACCTTTCTGGGTGGAATCCTGTACCATTTGAGCGTCGACGACGAGGTAATAATCCCTTGTATTAATATATACCGTAATTAGATATTCATTCCATTTAAATGCTATTTGTAACGATAGGTGATCTACTTTACTTAATTGTAACAACCATCGAGGGTGAAACTTTGCATATCACAGCAGGAATAGACGGATTTTTTGTGAATAGGTCGACTATAAAAAATTTTGACTTCAATCCTCGAACGGAGCTTCAACTATATCATGCACATTCTCTTATTACACTTCTT